CTGAAAAATGTTATGGGTTAGGTTTTATAATAAAAGAATATGAGTAGATTTTAATAGGTTTTAATAAGGATTTAAATCGAGACCCTAAATTTCAGTATCAGCTGCCACAATAATTAACTAAGAAATATTATAATATGAAAACGAAACCCTTCAGACAAATAATATATCAGGGTTTATTCAGATTTTTGTTTATTATTAACAATATATGGAACTTTAAAAATCACAACACCGAGTATTATCAACATTGAAAAAGCACCTAACCCATAACATTTTTCAGATCCAACCATCCAATATAATCCACAAGCCATTATTGGACCAGCCGCACGACCTAGTTGTCCAAATGATCGATATATTCCTAAAGCTTGTCCTTTAGCTATACGAGTTATAGGTTCAGAATTATTTATTTTAAATTTCGAATTATCACTAGTTAAATTGTTATTAATATTCTGATCAATATTGTCATCATCATCATCATCATCATCATCACATTGCATTGATGCTATTGAATTTAAACAAGTTACGACAGTTGCTGAAGTGAAAGCTAAAAACGTGGAACCAACGTAAAGCCACATGATTCCGTTTGAAGTTTTTGTTAAAGCAGAAATTACAGCTAAAGAAATTGCACAACATAATACACCTTGAACAACAAGACGTTTTTCACCAACTTCATGAGCCATACGACGAACATATCCACCTTGAAGGATTGAAGATAATATTCCCATATATCCCAATAAAGTTCCATTTTGCATATTAGTGAAATTAAATAGATCAAAAGTTAAGAAAGTGAGAGTATATTCCATCCCAGAAAAGATAAAAAGAAATAGAAAATGAATCCAATTTAAATTCCTTAAATTTTTAAGACGTTGTGATATTGAGTTTGTTTGATTATAAGAATTTGAAGAGTTTGAAAAGTGATTGATATCAGATTGAGAACTTTGAGATTTGTGATAAAGGGTTACGGTTTCAGGCAAAAACAGATACAAATATAAAGTTTCTATACTCAATAAAGTAAGAGCAACTAAGGCAGACATAGAATAAGGATTTAAACCCCATTTAACAAATTGAGGGAAAGATTGTGATAAATCCATAGAAGAGAAATAAGCGCCTATAGCAGGACCAACTGTGAAGGAGATTGAAAAAGCAATTCCTACTAATGACTAAGAGAAATATTTCTAAATTATAGAGTATTATTAAACCAAAATAATAAAAGAAAAGAAAGATACTACTAACCAATCCTTTAGATCTTGATTTTTTTGAGGTAACATCTGAGATAATTGCAATTGACAATTGAACATTGCCTTCGCTTAATCCAGCGACAATTCGGGATAATACAAAAAATCCAAACGATTTAGAAAAAAGCCATATAATGGTTGAAAGGATATTTCCGATCTGTGGTAAAATAACATTGAGAGATAGGTGATGAACAATTCTATAATATAAAAAGTTTTTAATTACCCTAAATTCATTCAACAATAATCGTATATTTGAACACAAGATTTAGGAAGAATTTAGAGAGTTCGAAAACTTTTGAACAGGAGAGTAAAAAATAATTTTCTAACCATAGTCACTAATAAAGTATTACGTCTTCCATATTTATCAGAAAGAGCACCGATAATTGGAGAAGCCACAAACTGTAAAAAAGAATATAAAGAACCTAATGCACCACCGAGAAGTACTAAATCCCATTTTGGATTGTTACTTCCACCAATTAATTGCTTAAAATTATGTATTTGATGAAGAAACCAGCTTAACAAAGTTGTCTAGATAAATAAAATAAATTGCTTAAAAATCGGATCATGAAATAAATTTTGATTAACAGAAAAATTCCGATTGAAACATGGATTAATACCTCATCGCCTTGTTCTCTTTCGCGATAATCCTGTAATAGCCTAGGAAATAGCGGTAAAATAATAGTAAAAGCCAAGAGATCTAGTAATAACGCTACAATAACTACTCGTACAGTTTGTGTTGTTTGTGATTGCAGAGCAGGAGAAAATTCCTTTTTCCTTGCTCCCATATTAAATATTAGTTAACTTTAAGTATTTTTTGCAAAAGAAATGAGAGACCATTCACTACTACTCGATTTTTTTTTCAAAAGAAATGAGCGACCATGCACTACTCGAAGATTTTTTGAAGGAGTATTAATGATTTACAATGGCGCAGTACTTACAATAGAAATGGGGCTGATCACTTTTTTCATAAACCGATCAACTGATCAGCTAACGCTAAAATCTGCAATAGCTGTTATATGTGGTTAAGTACTGAAGTAAAAGTGATCATAATAGACTGTATCCTACTTTAGAACCAGCCAAGGCGCCCTCATGTTAGATGATCGACTCCATGCCGCACCACACCTTATTTTTTTCGTTACAGAATTAAAATTGCTAAACTTCATGTGTCATGATAAAATATTACCGTTACATCTAATATTGCTGTATTATACATGATAAGGAGCGACTGTTGTGACCATCTAACCCGAACTTTGTGAGGGTCGCCATGACTAATTCCCTACCGTTAAATCGTTAATGCTGAATTTTTTTCAGCTAATGCGGAAATGTTATACTAATAGAACGTATGAGCCAGGATTTTTGATGGCAATTTGGTGATTATTAAAATAAAGTGATAATAAAATCAAATAACTACAGTTATCATTTATATCTAAATTTACGTATTATTTCGATCAATAATTAAATTCAGTAAATATTAATACAACTGATAAGCGGTTTCATAAAGGTTTCATAAGAGATATGAAAAATATCAATTAACCAATCAAATTCAAACATACAATTCAATTTTATCATTTACTTAAATGGTCTTAAATGATTGGAAATTCTCAAATCAAACAAATTGGTCCATACAAAATTAAATGGGTTTAACAGTACCGTTATGAGTATTCGGGCAAAACTCCTTAAATTGAAATATCGATGTTCAATCAATTTCAAT